AAATGTAATGGAGTAAACATATTGGCTAATGGGGCAAAAAGAAGTGTTGGGATATTATTACAGTATTTTTAAGTATACTGTATTTAATGTGTGCACTTGTTGTACTTGTTTCACATCAAAATACATACTGTGTAGAGCCAAAACATCCAACATGGTCACAATATGGTTAACATCTTACTTACTTCTTTTTAACTTTCTTCTCACTGGAGCCTTCTCTTCCTGGTCTGTAGAAAGAAAAAAGCAACAGCTCTTTAAGGGAAATGTGGACATTTAAACAGTATGTTGTATTTATGAATATGTCCTCTAGATGGCGATAAAAAGCAACAGCATCTTCTTCTGCATATGACAGTTTCACAGTACAGACTTCTTCACTCTGTGAGTACATGAGTACAGCAGTGGCTCCATTTAATGTGCAGACTGAACGGTCTAGGTCAGGTCAGAAACTGCTGAGTGTTTTTACTACGCCATTGTACACAGTGTGTTACAACATGAAATCTCAGCGTATATTGACACCCTCGCTGTTCCTCTGATGAGCCAAATTCCCTGAATGACTAAGATGACCATGAAAATTATTTCAGTCTGGTCGCCCACCTCATTCCAAAATGTTTAGCGGAGCAGATAACTGTAAAGCCAAAAGGTTTGAACACCAGCCTCTCTGACAGTCAGAGGCTTCTGACTTTTGAATACTGAGCTAAAAAGGTAGACACAAAAGAAGATTGGGCCGTTCAAGTGAACAAATGAGGCCCTTTTCTTCCGTGAAAACCACCACTGAGTGCCAGAAAACTGTACGCCCTTAAACTCCAGTCATTATCCTGACCCCTCTATGTTAGTTATCCAGAGTTGCTGTCAAATGGCTGCTGTCAAATCTTCCACAGCTCTGTTTCACCTGAAAACGTAGACGATGCTAGCACATGTTGAGATTAAGAGCTGTAATTACAGATTATTTGCATTGTCAATCATTTTTGCAATTAATTGATTAGGTTTTGATTATATAAAATGTCAGAAAATGGCAAAATATGTTTATCAAATATGTCCTCAAATGTCTTTTTTCATCCACAACCCAAAGATATTCAGTTTACCATCATAGAGAAGTAAATGAACCGGAAAATACTCACATTTAAGGTGCTGGAATCAGCAACTTTTGACTTTTTTCCTTTAAAAAAGCACTCAAACCAATTAATCAATTGTCAAATGAATTGGTGATAAATCTAATGGTTGACTACTAATTGATTAATCCATGAAGCTCTAGTCTAGAGTTGTGTTATAACCCATTTCACCACAAAACAGCCATCTGATTAAAGGTCTTTTAACCTTTTGCCTGGAGGGTGCCTTGGACCGGTCCTCTTTTTATTCTGTTTATGTGTTTCAGCAAGTAAACACCATTCCTCCATTTTAAGAACCCTGGACAAACCCTTATCCTGTTCATGAGAAACCTGAATATGCTATCAGGAATATTTGGAAAGAAACTGGGTACTGTTGCATGTATACACCTTATCCCTGTTATTGAGCACCGCAGCCAAGTGAACTAACAGAAAAAACACAAACAGTGGCGGCAGCAAGAGCTTCAGTTATAGAGCGATAAATAAACAGAATTTTGTCTTAAAGGAGACCCTCCAGATCACCCACTGGCACTTTGTCAATCACTCATGTGTTAAAGTAGCATATAATAAAATCAGCAAAGAGACTCTGCCTAGTGGTGAACTGATAGAGACCTTACCCAGTGATGCTGAGTGGTTTGTTTTCATTCTCCTTCAGTTTCTTTTTCATCTCAACAGTTCTCGACGGTCTGTGCACGTATTTCCGCTTCCCTGTGCATTCATAGGTCCAGTGTCCCATCTCCAAACACTTCTGGCATCGCACATGTTGTTTGTTTGCCTCCCTGTGTGTGACAACAGAAACAAATCTAAATGAGGCTCAACAATGACACTCACTACAACTCTAAAGAGAAAAAAAAATCAATCACTGCTGCAGCTACACTTCCTTGTTGTTAGTTGTGTTAGTTGTCAAGCTTTGTAGTTGGTGATGCTGTTGGAATGTTGAACGTTTCTGAAGATGCCTGCTTATATTTCAAATTAAACACTGTATGGTCTATATTTTCACCTAAACACTTTAGAAATTGATATTGGGGAAGGTAAAACCAATCTGCAGAAGTAGACGGAGGGGAAACATTTACGGTGATGGTAAAGGTTCTGTAAACATCCTAGCAAAACTTTTATCTGTTTTAGAGATTTTTTAAATACCTTTTGTATTTGCTTGTGCGTGACTGGCTGTGTTATGTCGTCGTTGTTTATGCTGCTGCACTAAGGTCACTGAGATATGATCTCAGTGAGATGACCTGATTTTATAGAGGTCATAATAAGATAGAAAGCTCGACAGTTCCAATCATTTTTTAAGGTAAAACAGTTTATTGTTTTCTCTTAGAGCCTGAAAGTGAGAAAAAACATGGATCACCTAAATCAGGGATACTCAACTTGCTTTGCACGTGGGACACTTTTGCAAAATGACAGGAGGCCAGGGGCCGGTTAGAAAACAAACATTTACAATATTTAGGCTACTAGTTAAAACGGATGTTTGCTGTCCTGACTCATCTTTTTCTTGAGGTGAATACAGTTACAGGAACCCCACACAGGGCAGGCGTATTAAGGGGTGCTTCTAGGATTTGAGGACATTGGAGGATTAGCCCAGACCTCTGTCAGGCTGTCCGGGGCATCCTCCCCTAGCACTTCTTTTTAGTTAAAAAACTCTATCACCTTCATGACATTTAAAGTACAAAAAATGCAAGTGTGAATCAAAATATTTTCATTGATAATAACTGACAAATCGGTTTTCCTCAGCAGGGTTTTCCTGATTTGAGCTCATATTAAATATAAAAATCGAGGGAAGGTCCACTTTATTTCTTCAGCAATATGGAAATTATGCTCATAAGTTGTCCAAGGCAAACAGACTATGTTTCTAATGGTGGTAGAGCACTCTTTCACTATATAAATGATATTTTATTGATGTGTGCACAAGTCAGAATTTCAGAATCATGCCAAAGTGATCCTGAACCGGCCCAACAATATCTAACTGTCCAGCTCTTTCCCCAGCATGGTAATGTTATACATTTCATACAAGTGATTTATCTTGCCTAAACACATACTGTAACAGGCTAAATGTCTATATGGAAACAGTATTAATGGGGTATTTTTCTATATAACTCAGTCCTGAGGCGAAACAAAAATGGAACCAATATTTCAGTCGAAAACGTTTAGAAACTCTGACCGTTAAAACAAACGGCAAGTTATTGTATCTTGGCATATCTCACACTTTCATCTCGCATAAATGGGAGTATCGACGATTAATGATTTATTAAAACATACCAGTCACGAGTTCAAAGACTAAATAAATGTATGAAGAAAGAAAACAGTCCAGCAGTTAAATAACAACCCTGTATGAAAGAGAAAGACCGCGGCTCAGTCGGGCTCCCTTTAAGCCCTGCAGGGTTCGTAATTTACCTCCATTATCTAACACGAAGGTCGACGAGCTTAACGTAATTTGTGTTTTAAAGACAATAATATTCACAAAACGATGAAAATACTACATCTTCATCTAGTTATATTAATTATACTCACGCTTGTCTCCTGGCTATTATTCTATGCATGGGAGTCGCCATGTTGCAGTTTACTTTTTCTTCTTCGTCGACATCGTTCCAGAATGTATTTCCGGTTCCCTTAGGGCACACAGTGCTCCCTATCGGCAGTGATATTCTACTGCATCTGTGTCTTATGAATAACTCGCTGCAATTAATTTTCTTTTTAAATCCGAAAAGGAATTCAGGGAAAAATAATTACGCAATCTAAATAGCTGTAATTTCACATGTTTTTTTTAAATATTAATTTATATGACAATGCAGGACATGAAAAATAAATCAATCAAAATAAAAGTTGTTTTCACATTTTCCCAGTAAATTGCCATGCGCTACCGGGCCCCAAAAATCCCAAAAGATGATTTAAAAAAAATCTCAACAAGATAGGAAATGATAGGACTATATACATTTTTTTGTCTTTTCTCTTTTCTCAATATCTTTAGCTACTGTGCAAACAGTTGCTCAGGTTTAACATTTGGTTATCTATGTCACCAACACAGTGCCCCCGCCCAACATTCAACTGTCATTACACCCACCCATATTTTACTTTTTTGTCAGGGCTGCATGTATACACCATCGTTTGCCATTTCTATTACATGGGTTCCTAAACAGTATTTTAATTCCACCAACAAAACATGTTATATATTTTTATTTTGTAACACCAAAATGCATTAAAAGTAATTTCTTTAAATGCTGTAAATCCCCAAAATTTTGGTTAATTAAAAGGTCAAACACAAACACAAAGGAAAATACTTTGATACTATCATCACTTCTAACAAAAAATTACAATAGTTAATCTTACACGTCCCTGTTTTACTGCTTACAAACAGTATCTAAGATTAATTTATTTCATTAGATTCTTATATTTTGACTTAGCTGGACTGCATTTGTGTTTGTTTTATAAGAGACTAAAGTAAAATCAATGGCTTTAAATTATTAGCATATTCTACTTTGTAAAAACAAAAAACAAAAGATAGTGTAGTAAATAGTATCACAAAAACCTAAATATATTGTAAAAATAAAATGTGTAGCTGTTTTTGTCCACTCGGGCGTTTAAACTGTGTGGTAGGCTTGTAAAATATGACTTCATACTTTTAACACCCTCGTGCAGCACAGTCTATTTTTGTTTTCCCATCTAGAGTTGATCCCAGGCGTCATCGAAACAATCAGTCGTTGATTTGTTAATGCAATTTGCATCTACAGAAAATCTTAAACCCCCAAACGATCTCTCAATAGCCAGAAATTTCAGGGTATCTGTCCCTAAATCTCGAATATCTGAGAACAGTCATTCACATGGTTATAGAAAGGTCCAGAGATATCTAGAACTACGCAAATCTCGCGATGACTCCCGACGAGAAGTCACTTAGACCACCTTGCTGCTGCAGCCTGCCAGCACAGAAGATCAGAGACACCGGTAAATAGTCAGCGGTGTGGATTATGACTACAAGTAGCCATACTTAACACAGTGCCGCACAACTACTCCACCTGACTTTTACCATCCTGGTGATTTTAAAGCTTTAGCTGTACGTCAGCTTTGTTTTTATAAGTCGAACTGTAGATAGCGTTACAGCTAGAAGACAGTCGGATCGCTGAAGATGTCAGTGGTGGGATTTGACTTGGGCTTTCAAAGCTGCTATGTAGCTGTAGCCCGAGCTGGAGGAATCGAGACAGTCGCCAACGAGTACAGCGACAGATGTACACCGTAAGTACCTAAAATAAAGCTATTATTTATTTGACTTTTGAGCGGATAGCTACAGAAGAGAGGGGTTCATTTTCTCTCAGTTGTTGTCTCACCGGTGCACGTGAACGCAGCTTCTCTGACAAGCTACCGTTAGCTGAACTCGTATCCCTGTGGCTATTAAACCTGCCTGTTAGTGTGTGTAAATCAGTGAAACGTTTGTTAATATTTCCATAGCGAACTTGTAACCGTCTAATATTAACCTTTAACGTTCACATTTTGTTCACCCACCAACCATGGAGCCACAGCAAGCTAGCTGGTCAGTTAGCTAAGCTCACAGTTTCTATTACTGTAACTGTATAGTTTGGAAATAGGCTTTCGTTGCCCGGCGGACATGAGCGGGCGGTGTTTCCCTTGCTCTAATCAGTGTAGTCGATATCTCGAAGGCGAGATCTCCGACCAACCGGTGTGCCCCGTGTGACAAACGGTGCGCCTTCGTTAGGTTCTCAGCGATGACGACAGCAGTTAACTGCTTGCTAGAATATTCTAGCAAGTTTAAGTGCCTGTAAGAGTTTAGCAATTTGTACTAAAGATATGTACTGTTATTGTTATTTGTAGGATATGTATATGTTCTTTAAAGAATGGTGTTTTCAAGTTCATGAGCTCACCTCATGCGGCTGACACGGCACACTTTGTACCCACAGTGGTTGTAGGTCCCGTCACCACATACAATGTTCAATAAAAAAATAATAGTAATTAATTTAAATGAATCTTTGGCGTTGTTTCTAAGGTGTTGTCGTGTATTCATGTGGTATTAAGGAGACTTTTAAGATTGTAACAAGAATATAACCTGTTATAACAAATTAATAGACTGTATTTTTTATTTGAATAATAATTGGGGTGTGTTTTCAGATGTTTTTACCTTTTTAAAGTCTTGCAGGTTATGAAAATATTTGGAATATTATTAATATTAAGGCTTCACGTGATATTAAAAAAGAAAATAATCGATTCAGAGTTGTATTTGTAAACTGATTTTTAAAGGAAAAATCAGTGTGTCACAAAAGATGCTATTTTAAACTTTAGAAGGAATAAAAGGTCTAAAATAGGTAAAGTTCAAGTGCATTTTTTGGCACTTTGCACTACTACAAACAAAACACAAGCCATACATAAAAGCCCTTTTAAATTAATGTAGAGACTGTTGAGCAAACATTAATATATTTTCCAGTACATAAAAAAGTCTTAAAAAATCTTGCTTAGACCATACCCCTATAAAGGTTTGATTTTTCCCTCCCTGATGAGATAGAAAGGATAGAAAAGAAAATAACACCTGTTTGAGTATTCATAATATGCTGACTCCCTGGGATAATCAATTTGGTAAAGATGGGGGATGATAATGTTTCTGCTAGTGCTGCTTTCTTTTTTAACATTATATCAGTTTGGCCTTTGTTATCTTGTGATTAACACTCACAAAATGTTTTTGACATTTTCAAGATTTAGTGTTTAATCAAAAGAATAGTCTGTTAATTAGAGTGATGAACGTTTGCTTTTAGAGGTGTTGCCATCCAACTAGTCCAGAACTTTCCTAAATAATCCTTTACTAATTTACCAGTTTTTCCATTTTAATGTTCCTTCATTAGTTAGTTTTCTTTTGTTCCTGTGTTCTTACCTCACCTCTAAAAATGAGCAAAAGAAAAACCACATCATACATGTCACTAGTCTGTTCTTGGTCGAGATGCGGCCCAGCATTTCCTCAGAGACTTGTTGCGTTGACCCTCTCCTCTTTTATACATCAACAACAGTGCTTGTGTGTTGACTGTGATTGCAGCTCTGACATCTGTGTTTGATAGGGATGACAATGACATGCATGTTTTGACCACAGCCTTCGTGGATGCAGGTGGACTGACCACACCACTTCAGACTCATTGTGTGAGCTGCGAGATTGATAATAACAAGCCTACATGCAGCCACAATACTTGTTTAAAACAGCTTTGAACAATGTTATGATCTATTGTTGGTTAAAAAAGTGTAGTCTGCCATCAGTGTTTTAAAAGCTTTACTTTTACATTAGGGACTGTTTGTAAGCAACTATCTTTAGAAAGCTGATATGACACATTGAATTTTGCTTTTCTGCAAACCAAAACAAACTGCTAGTGTTGCTACTGCAGACAACGGAAACAGTCTGTCCAGTTTTATATGGGTTGGGCTCTGAAATGTCATGTGTAGGCATGAGACTGTATAATAATTGACAAACAAGTAAATGTGGCTTGATTTGGGTGTATTTGTATTAATAGGCTGCTTATACAATCAGTTTAGACTGCTTGCTTGTGATAGCGTGTCAGGTTGTGGCTTAACATTTTCGTTTGCTTGCTTCCAGGTCATTTGTATCGTTTGGACCACGAAATCGAGCTATTGGAGCAGCTGCGAAGAGCCAGGTAAAATCGATTCAGTCGCCCTGTTAACACCCTCAGAGTTCCTACTAAATTGGATGCAAAACAATGTAACGTCTGTCATCGTGTCCAGGTGGTGACCAACTGTCAGAACACGGTGCAGGGCTTCAAGCGATTCCATGGCAGGGCGATGTCAGACCCCTATGTCCAGGGAGCCAAGTCTAAGCTGGTGTACGACTTGGCACAGATGCCCTCTGGATCCACCGGTATAAAAGTAAGGTTGATAATATAATGGAGAAAAAGACACAATAATTTATAACAGAAATGTAAGGGTTGGGTTAGCACACTCAACTGCTTTTATTAGCAGTACTGTACTGCACTGAAGGACAGCCATAAGAAATTTAACAGACAAAGTATAGAAACAGAAGAGCTCTTTCCTGACTATATTGCTCCCTTCCTCTCTCACCTGGTGTGCTCCAAGAAGTGCCTCACGTAATGCTCTCTGCTCTGAATCATAGCTCTTCTACGTTATCCTCTGATTCAACCTATGCTTTTATCCTTAAAACAGTCTCTCTTGTCTCTGTCTTAAGCTGTTATGTTTTTTTTTTCTTGACATTTGTTCTATTCTAACATTATTCTGTGGTAAGAAATGATTGTTGTGCCGTGTCTCTGAACCTTGCAATCAGCTGAGTGCCTCAATAGGAAAAAAATTTTTTTGCTGCCAGCAGATTGATAGCGTAAGACTTAAAACGTACCCAGAGGGTATACAAAGTACACAAATATCAATGCCTGGCTTTCACACTACAAACACTCAGCCCAGCTTGTTTTTGTGCCCCTGCGGAGATAATTAACACGAGCCCTCAGAAGAAATGACAAATTGAGGAAGATTGCTTTAACCTGGTGTTGCCCACAAAATCACCCCTTGCATTTTCAGATTGCATATTTAGATAATATATGCAGCAGTGGCCTTTTTCATTGTCTCTAAATCTCACTATATATAACAGCTATTTATAGGGCTTGTAAACAGTTTCCCTCAGGTGTAATAGTCTCCCTATTTTTGTCAACTCTAGGTGATGTACATGGAGGAGGAGAGAGTGTTCAGCATTGAGCAAGTCACCGGCATGCTGCTGACCAAACTGAAGGAGACTGCTGAAAGTGCACTGAAGAAACCAGTTGCGGACTGTGTCATTTCGGTAAGCATTCCCACAGCAGTTTGCCGGCTTCAGCAGGGTGTCTAAAAAAATCTATAAAACTTCTTAAATAGGTTTGTCGGTGCACTGCATTAGCTTCCTCGTGGTCTCCGTCCAACCTGCTAATTTTTATACCAACATATCTAATTGGATTTAAATGTCTCAGGAGGTGTTAATTTACTTGTTGGATCACTGCACGTAGCTTATTTTAAGATGTGCCATTGGACTGATGAGGCTTTTAAGAGACATGTGACTTGCTTTACTCCATGTTGTTCTCTGTGCTGAAGTGGAATAGTGCAGTGCATTTACATCCTGCTATTCTGAGTGGCAGCTGTTGATGTCATCCGCAGTTTAGGTTTTAAAATGCCCAGGGAAAGCTGCCTCCGAGGTGTATACATGTATTACCACCTGTTCATGTGACATTTTGAGCTCGAAGCCCTTCACCAGATGTCTTGTCTGAAAGCTCTATTTCCTCCCTTGCACCTTGTTGGTGAAGAGTGGGATGTGTGTGTGTGTGTTTCTTGCTGTGCTCAGTATATGTATTCACCGGCAGCGGCATCTGTTATGTAATGTTACATATTGCACACAGAAAGGCTGTTACTTTCACTGGTCCGAAATCTACAGTTTGCATCAGCCCCAGAGATGGATAACATGTTATTATTACTGTGGCCAAAAGCTAAATTTAGCCCTCTTCCACAAGGAGATGTTTTGTTTTGGCACCTGGAGTAACTCACGCAGCGACACTACCCAGACAGCTTGTGATACAGACGAGTCGTGTATCAGTCATGTTCAGAATGATCATGTACACAGAAGGAGAAAAGGATGTTTTGGCATGTTATAAATACCTTACAGTAACACCCAACATGTGTATGCAGTCTCTTTTAATATTACTAGTTCCAGTCAAATTCCTCATCTGCATTGTCTTCCGCCCGCAGGTACCGAGCTATTTCACTGACGCAGAGAGAAGGTCTGTCATGGATGCAGCTCAGATTGCAGGCTTAAACTGTCTACGACTAATGAATGAGACCACTGCAGGTACATTGAAACTCAGAATACTCTATGAAGGACACACAGCATCTGAATCATAATAACTAGTTATTGGGCTTTGAGGCAATTATATCACACTGTGCTGTGAAATGAAATCTACAGCAGGCAAAAAAAAAAAAATCCTAGGATGGCAAAGGCATGACCCGCCTTTCTCTCCCTCTTATTGGCTAGTACTTGTTGACTTCATTGGTTGGGTTGGTTAGGTTTTGGTAAGAGGTGTGAGATTGGTTAGGTTTAGGGTAAGAATATGAGGGTAGGCCAATCAGAGGCAGAGTAGGGCGGGTCACCGTTTTGCTATCCTAGGAAAAAAACTTGCCTACTAAGGGTGCGAGAAGTGTTAGATCTGTCCTCTATTAAGAAAGGTATAAGAAAGTATTGAGTTGTCACCTAAGCCAAGTATAAGGCAAAATATAGCCTATGAGTCATGGCTGTGTGAAGGTACCCTGGTTTGAGCCATGCCATAGCTGTAAATCTATGTAAATATGACACAGTCGTGCTACACACTGACATCAAATTATGCCTGTCTGTTGCAGTGACTCTGGCATATGGCATCTACAAGCAGGACCTGCCAGCTCCAGAAGAGAAGCCCAGGATAGTGGTGTTTGTGGACGTGGGCCACTCGGGTTACCAGGTGTCAGTTTGTGCCTTCAACAAGGGAAAGCTCAAGGTGGGTAATGAATAATTTGTGGCCATTTTGAAAAGCAATACTCACCGGGGAAATGTTTTTAGGGCAGGTTATGATGACACAGCACTATGTTCTCCGGGGGTTTTGCCAGGAAGTTGCTAATTTCTCTCGTGTGGGCATAGATAAAACAGAGTGGTAAGGAGAGCTACCCAGCAATGTTTTTTTTAATCACTTGTTTATGGTAATTTAGTTGAAGTGTAAATAAAAAAGGAGTTGAAAACATTCAGTCAGCAGAAAAGAACGTTTAACCCTCACGTTGCACAGGCTTTTTACGAATGCTGTAACAGTGGGCTGCCTTGCAACGGAGGTAGGCCAAAACCAGGAAGTGGTTTTAATAGAATTTAATAAACTACTTAATGTAGCTATTGAATGTTGTTTGATTAAAACATATATCTTGAATAAATAATTAAAAACATCAAGTAGTTTGATCAGTTTCAAATATTAACCAATACATCATCCTCCACCATCAGATCCTGGCCACAGCATGTGATTCAGAGCTTGGCGGCAAAGACTTTGACGACATCCTGGTCAACTACTTCTGTGAGGAGTTTGGGAAAAAGTACAAGCTGGACGTCAGGTCCAAGCCCAGGGCACTGGTCCGACTGTACCAAGAGTGCGAGAAGCTTAAGAAGCTGATGAGTGCCAACTCCTCTGACCTTCCTCTCAACATTGAGTGCTTCATGAATGACATTGATGTTTCCAGTAAACTCAACAGGTGAGATGTGGTGTTACTTCATCAATCAGGGGACAGTGTCTGTTATGTCATAGGTATAACTAAAATCTTTAACAGTGGCTTGAGAGACACTATAATTAAAGCTGTTCTTGCTTTAGATGGGCCAATGAAAATGTAGCTATCTGTTCACTCTGTTTATGGATTATGTGGATCCTCTACAATCTTTTTGAGTTTTCTTTTCTATGGACCACTGTCCAGATATTAAAGAGGGCTGCTATAGATAAGCACAAACTAAAAATGGCGTTGCTATGATTAGAAATGTCTTTAGAGGTACTCTGTGTTTGTGATTCTATTAATAATCTATGATCATATATCCCCAGAGGTCAATTTGAAGAGATGTGTGCGGCACTGCTGGCCAAAGTGGAGGGTCCCCTGCGCAGCGTCATGGAACAAACCAGTGAGTGCATCTGACTCTAATAGCAGCTGGACTATCCCATTCAGCACGTGCGCACTCGCACAGAGATCTGAGACAGTCCTTCCCTCCGGATACTGGCAGCGCGCCTGCCTTCTTGCTTCACTTTAATCATCCCTTGTTTCTTTATCTCTGCCTGCCTGCTCTTGCTTGTCTATTTTGAGCATTCATATGGCAAATAATTTTCAAATAATATATCTGGGTATACCAGTGTAGTGGTATTGAGGGTTGTTGAGTAATGTGCTTTAACTTTGAAGAAAAAAAAATCTGAGATTCTGGAAAAGGAAGCTGTGAGTGTGTAAACTCTAACAAGCCTGTTTTGTATCAACATTGTCCTGCCTTCTGTTATCCAGAGCTGAAAAAGGAAGACATCTATGCAGTGGAGATTGTGGGCGGTGCCTCCAGAATCCCTGCCATCAAAGAGCGAATCAGCAAATTCTTCGGCAAAGAGCTGAGCACCACCCTGAATGCAGATGAGGCCGTGGCTAGAGGCTGTGCTCTGCAGGTATAACTCATTTGGTTGACCAGCATCTTGATGCTGTTAGGGACTCGCACAGCTAACTCGCTAGCTGGCAACTGTGATGGTAGAGTGGGAGAAATATGACACACATGCGCATATACATTAATTAGTCAATCACACTTTATTTGTGTAGCATCTTTCATACAGGTTAGTGCAGTTCAAAGTGCTTCACGGGTGAGTGAAAAGCCGAAAAAGACAGAACAAGTGTTGACTGTAAAAGCAACAAAAAGACAAAAACAATTCAACAGTGTGAGACAAGTGCACGCAAGACAATATAAATGTAACAAAATAGATTTAAAACTATAACAACAGTAATATTATTCTTATTATTATTATTATTATTTATTGTTTTTTTTTTTAATTTGGCACAAAAGTTCACTTGGACTCGACAATGAACTAATTTGATTTTGATGGTCAAAGGTCAGGGTCACTGTGACACTGCATTTGTCTCAGTCGCGTGAACACGATATTTCAAGAGCAACTTTGAGGAATATCATCAAATTTGGCACAAACATTCACTTGTACTTAACAATGAACTAATTCGATTTTGATGGTCAAAGGTCAAGGTTAATGTGATCTTGCATCCGTCTCATTCTCGTTAAAGGGATATCTTAAGAACACCTTTAGGTAATTTCTTCACATTTGGCACAAACATTTACTTGGACTTAACAAAAAAAGGTATTAGATTTTGATGGTCAAAGGTCAGGGTCAGTGTGACCTTGCATTGGTCTCAGTCTCGTAAACATGATATTTCAAAAGCAACTTAGAGGAATATCATCAAATTTGGCACAAACGTTCGCTTGTACTTAACAATGAACTAATTAGATTTTGATGGTCAAAGGTCAAGGTCAATGTGAACTTGCATCCGTCTCATTCTCGTTAAAGGGGTATCTTAAGAACACCTTGAGGTAATTTCTTCAAATTTGGCACAAACGTTTACTTGTTCTTATCAAAGATCTAATTAGATTTTAATGGCTAAAGGTCAAGATCAGTGTGACCTTGCATCAGTCTCATTCACATGAATACAACATCTCTGGAAGGCTTTAAGAGAGTTTCCTTAAAGTTTGTACAAATGTCCACTTGGACTCAAGAATGAACTTATTAGAATATATATGCTGGTCAAGAAGGTCGCTGTGGCCTCACTGAACATGTGTCATCACTGTGACATCATGATGTTGTGTAAAAACACTTGTCTGGCCATTAATCAAAGTCATATCTTAGAAACAGAGGGAGAGACATTTGGTCAGACACTGTTGAAACTGAATTTATTGATGTTGGTTAGAATAAGAAAGCAACCTCAAGGCGAAAGTTTGAGCTTTGATAACTTGTGTTTTTCTCCTCTTCTCCTCAGTGTGCTATCTTGTCACCAGCATTCAAAGTCAGAGAGTTCTCCATCACAGATGTTGTCCCTTACGCCATCTCTCTAAAATGGAATTCAGCCGCAGAGGAGGGAATGAGGTACGATCTCTGCTTATATCACCTGAGAACATTAAATAAGGAAATCTTTTACTGTTTGAATCTTACAGGGACAATAGGAGGGTTCATCACACCTGTTAGTTTGGACATCATGCTTTACAAGACTCTGCTAAGCTAATACACAACTTCAGGGTTGATGAGGATATCAATGGACTTCACTGATATTATGTGGTCTGAGCTTTCAGGTGTTTTTAGGAGGCCTTAAAATGCTTAGACTGCTATTACCATATCATTGTAATGTTTTCCTTTCTGCCATTTTACATCATGTCTGTTAGTGGAATTTAAAAGTCTTCCCCAAAACCTGCAGCTAAGACGAGGTTAAAAGTCTGCATGGGATTGTCTTTTTTAAGGCTAAACCTGCCTCCTGCTCTCGTCTATTTAGCCGCGTTTACCTGTACCTGCAGGACTCTCTGCCACACCTGCACACACCTGTAGTCGATTTGTACCACACACACCCACTATCTGAATTCTCAGCCAGTTTTATTCACATTCTACTAGCTTAATTTTAAATCATGACATAATAGTATCTCTGTAGAATATTCCGTTGTATTTGGTTTTGTAGTTCTATTGACCGTGTCCTCCTGCTGTGTTTTTACAGTGATTGTGAAGTTTTCCCAAAGAACCATCCAGCCCCATTCTCCAAAGTTTTGACTTTCTTCCGGAAAGAGACCTTCACCCTCGAAGGTTACTACAACAACCCCAAGGAGCTGCCCTACCCCAGCAGCACTATAGGTACTGCAAATTCAACTTCATTAAGACATAACGTGTACAAGATAAGTGGATAATATGGACACCAAGTATGGAATAAGCCTTTTTTTTTCTTTGTCTCTGGGTTGGGGGTTATTTTGTGAAAATGCTTTAGAGTTATAACTGAAAATCTTCTGTATTTCTTAAATCATTTTCTAGTTTGCAAAGCAAGCTTAGGTCCAAAGTGTGGAGACAGTTAATTTTTAACTCTGACATTTGCTCCAGCTCTGTGTTAGATTTGTTAGCTACTTTTTTTGAGTGGTTGCAGCCATTTTGCATTCTCAATTATGCCAACTATTAAGCATGTATCCATGAATCAACCAACTCTATCCAGCGTTCTGTCACAAGATGTTTGATGATCATGCTAAAACACGTTGATTGTGACACCTTAATAGTTATATTTCCTGGAAATGTGATACAGCTTAGCTTCCTCACCCCAACACATTGACATAAGAAGATATTCACACTTATTCTAACCTCTCACCCTTTCCTCCACCGTACAGGCCAGTTCCTGATCCAGAATGTGGCTCCTCAGGCATCTGGGGACAGTTCAAAGGTCAAAGTGAAAGTACGGGTCAATGTTCACGGCGTGTTCAGTGTATCGAGCGCCTCACTTGTAGAGGTTTTGAAAACAGCTGAGGGGGAAGAGCCAATGGAGACAGACCAGACAGTGAAGGAAGATGAGGTGTGTACTCTGTATGTAAGCTTGGGTGTAAGAAAAAAATGATGATGTGTGTGTGTGAGAGAGCGAGAGAGACAGACAGAGACACACACACATACTTCTACACTTCTGTTTTTTCTTTTTTGTATGTTGTTTGCTTTGTGTTTCACCTCAGAGATCGCGTTCTCACAGTCAGTCTGGCCACACCTTGTGTTTTTTTAATAGTCAGTAATGTCATCACTGTGGAATTTAGATGTCTTGCCTTAACAAGCTCAACACAGCTTGAAGGGGTTGCATTTATCTCTCACTAATGCCTCTTTGTAATTTGTTTGGCATTTTATTTTGGGTGGTTTGTCACCGTCTGCACTCCAGAGCCAACTCTTTGGCCTTTTTCCCCAAATTAATGCGTCATAAGTGTTCTGCTGATTGAATGTTACTCACACAGTTGAGTTTAAACACCAGAGTTGACGCAATCAAAAAACGGTGAGAGGATTAAAGAATTACATAAGGGGTGAACCAGTATCATGAACACCTGGACAATTAATGCTGTCGGACGTAGTGCCTCTGCAAAAGCCATAATTGACACTGAGTCAGGCACTCTCGTTTCAAGTTTGTGGTGTGATAAACATCAGCAGGCTTCCTCTTGTTATTGGATGGAAAACAACACATATTGGACACATAGAAATCGACTCAAATCTTACAACAGGTGTTTGTGTTTCTTAGTGATGTTTGGTTTTGACTGGGGACACTCATGTTGACATCGTCTGAGCCCAGAGTTTGGTTAAAATCAGCCACAAAATACTGCATGTTCTCTTTAATATCATTTCTGTACTGTCTCTCCTTTTGTCACGTGTCAGAACAAAATGCAGGTGGACCAGGAGGATCAGAAAAACCATGCAGGAGAAAAAGAAGACAAGAAATCTGAGGCAGAAGAGATGGAGGTAACCTTGTGCTGGGCGATATGGCAATCACCATAACGTCAATGCATCTGTAATACATTTTAGGGCAGTATTACACTGCCTTCCTTTTTCCCAAGAAGTATAGACTGAAAACATTACACATGGACGATAACTTCAACACAGAGCGATTTCTTCTTATCAGCAAACATCACATGTTAATGAGTGGTCAAGCTTTGATGAAGCATTTAATAGTAATGCCACGCTTCGGGATAAATATTGCTCTGGTAAGATGTGGAAATCGCTGTTATAACGTGCAGCCGTATCACCCAGCACTAAGTTGCCAACTTTATTTTAACAAAACATTTCACACTGGATGATTTGGTGAAGGATGTTCTGCAACCCATTTTTGATTTATTTATAAAATAATTTCATGAAATAACCAAAAAAAAAAAAAAAGAATATCCCAAAAAACTTCAGAGACCAACAACTCTTTAAAATGTTTACATGCCCCCCTGAAAGACAAATACATGTAAAAGAATTCAAATTGACTTCAGTTCAAAAGCTCAATAAAAGGTATTAAGAGTTCAAACACAAAAGATCACATATAGCATAGCATAATGAATTCAATCTGACATTGCAAATTCAAAGTGACTATCATTAAAGTTAAGGAAAAAAGCACAAAATAATAAAAAAAAATCTTGTAAATTTTTCACTTCAACTTGGAAGTAGAGCCTGACAGATTCCAGTTAGGGGCCACTAACCAGTGGAACATGACTGGAGTCACATAAGGCTGTGTGTTGTAAAGGCATCCATTTGTTAATAAAAATAAATAATAAAATAATAACAAATAAACATTTAACCTGGCCTTTATATGTGTCATAGTTGAATGTTTCATCTCTGCTTTTTCAGACAACAGAGGACACCAAGCAGGAGAAGAAGACCGACCAGCCTCCTCAGGCAAAGAAGCCCAAAGTGAAAACGAAGACGGTGGAGCTGCCCATAGAGAACAACTTGCACTGGCAGCTGTCCAGTGACGTACTAAATATGTTTGTGGAGAATGAGGTAATGCTCTAAAAATCACCAGGAATGTCTAGTATGCTCTCCCAGTGGTTGTCCAAGCTGTGTGCTAGTGAGACTCACTGGTTCTGGTTTCATATGGGTTTTATTTAAAACAAATAGGAATGACTGTTGGTCACCATATAGATTATAATATAATAGCTGTACTTCATCTGATGACATAATACTCTATAATTACTTAAACACTTCTCCCTTCGTGAGTTTTTTTCCCTCATTATTTGAAGATTTAAGTTGCATTCTAGCTCTAAATATGACACAAATATCACCTATATTTCCTGTTTCTTCAGTTCATCCTCAAGTGGATTGATCTGTTCTCGTCTTCAGTTTGTTTGTGTGCACATCTGCTGACTAATCATTGACACCTTCACTGTGTCTCCTCCAGGGTAAAATGATCATGCAGGATAAGCTAGAGAAGGAGAGGAATGACGCTAAGAACAACGTCGAAGAGTATGTGTACGAGATGAGGGATAAACTGCACGGCGTCCTGGAGAAGTTTGTCAGTGAAGCTGTGAGTATAGGTCTCACTTGAGGCAATAAAGAACATGTTAACAGACACTAACCTTCACCTGAATTCAGATTTACTGCACTTATTTCATATTTTGTTATGCTGATGTTTTTGTGAATTTAATCTCACCTCTGATGTAACGCGTAGGATCGTGACTCTTTCTCGTTAAAACTGGAGGACACAGAGAACTGGCTGTATGAAGACGGAGAGGACCAACAGAAACAAGTTTACATTGACAAACTGGCTGAACTGAAGGTAAGCAGGCATGCAGTGTGCGTGACTGTGCAGATGGTTCGATGTAAAAAAGGAGTATTCCCATTCAAAAGTGAACTTTTTTTTTTTTTTTTTTTACAGAAAATTGGCCAGCCAATTCATGAGAGACATATGGAAGCTGAGGAGAGACCAAAAGCATTTGAGGAGCTTGGCAGACAGATCCAGATGTACATGAAGGTCATTGAGGCTTATAAAGCAAAGGTAACCTGACGTGAAAAGCAAGTTTATTGACTTAGTCAAGTGACTGCAGAGTTAAATTTTGTTGCTGGTTACAGTAGATGTTTTAATAACCGTTAATGCGATTGTATATTAAATTATTAACGAACAAGCACCAAACAGATGTCCTAATTTCCCTGTGCTTCGCCCAACAGGATGAGCTGTATGATCACCTGGATGAACTGGAGGTGACTCGGGTGGAAAAGCAGGTGAAAGATGCCATGGCCTGGATGAACACCAAGATGAACCAGCAGAATAACCAGGACCTCACTCTGGATCCAGTGGTCAAAGTTGTAGAGATCCAGGCCAAAGTTAAGGTACTGAGACTGTATTCGAGACACTTGTGTACACATGGCCTTAACATTATATGAGGATATGAAAATCTTCAGATAGTTTGCTACCAACAGCTTCACCAAGTCCAGTCCTGTAGATTTTTGATGTCTGGTTTCCTGCAGTTTAATGTCTAACATTGACTAAAGTGAATTTTAACACAGCAGTGGGGGAAATTACAATGTGCATGATCAAAACATTGCTCTATGTTGCCATGTTTGAACTTGTGTGCACTTAATGGCATGGCAAGTAATCAAAGTAGTGTAGGATTAGTGATTTTAGCTGCAACCAGCAGCTCTATAGGACGCTCTATCGGTTGGTCGTTCAGTCCACTAAAATTTCCCAACCCTTTGGTAGCCACAGTTGTCACCCTAGGAGGCTGAAAGTTGCCATAGAGGCCAAGTATGTGTGCTTGTGTTCATGCTAAGGGACAAAAATGGTCTCAAACAAAAAGGTGCATAACTTTGAAACAGAAAGATACACACACACCTTTTTGCCACTCATGAACCAGTTGCTGTAGGTAGGCATCACTGGACTAGTCACGTGTTTGTGTGTGTAAGTGCATGAAGGCAGTGATACATGCACGTACTTGGTCGCAGCCATTGCAACTTTGTGCTTGTCTGCTTAGATGTGTTGGCACCACACAGCCAGAGATCGAACAACTGCCAGCCCATGTTACCTGATACTTTATTATTATTATTGCCACTTAATGTAGTTGGTGGTAAATGTTTTAGTACAGCATGGAAGCTCAGTTCAGTACAAAGACACAAAGAAGCAACAGACACCATAAATCATTACAACAGCGCACACAAAAAGAAAACACATGACTGTAAAAAATACAAATGTACAGCTCAGTTCAGGTCCACAGCATATCAAGTAGCCCAACAGGCAAAACATACAGTGGTTGATGTACCAGTGCAACCAGTTCACTCTAAGGTGAGCTGCTGTTGGTGTAGTAGGAGCACAGAAATGTGAAATAATAAAACAAGTCTGCTTTATAAAAATAAAGTGGAGAACAGAACCTTTCTCTAACGAACGCTTTCGTCTTCCCTGTTCAGGAGCTATATTCAGCCTGCAACTCTGTGGTGTCCAAACCCAAGCCCAAGGTGGAGCCTCCTAAGGAGGAGAAGACAGAGAACGGGCCAGTCAAAGGACAGGAAGGAAGAGAGAGTCAGCCATGCAACCCAGACAAAGCCACACCTGCCGGCACGGAACAGGGAACGGCAGAGAACAAGCTCCCTGAAATGGACATTGACTAACTGTCGCAGCTGCCACCCCTGAGTTTTATCTCCGTTCGTCCTGCTACTTGCCCCCGATTCTGTCGTTCTTCTGAGATCATTGTCGAGGACACAGAAAACAGTCAGCAGCATCCCTGATCAGTACTATTCATCAGTCAGCCACCTCGGCATGTCTCATTTTCTTTGATGAATACAAAAATAATGCATAATATTAATATAGAATGGACTACTTTATGACAAACGTCGTGTGCGTGGGGTGGAAACTGCTTTCTTCGTGTTGCTTTGATGGCCATTATGTTAAAGATTGTTTTGTTCAGTATCTCCTGAGCATACTTTAGCTAAGAATGTCAGATTTGAAGAATTGTAAGCAAAGTGGCTGTGCGGAAGAAAACTAGTAATAAACACAGGATTCAAGGATATGTAAAATATTGCAGTATGTTTAAATATGATATAGGTACAGTGGCACATGTTCAAGAACATGGATTGTTCCAAGTTGTACATGACAAATAGTGCATTTTTTTCACTACAGATAATTGTAAATGCTGGATGATATGTTTAGTTTAAAAGGAGGGAAGGTGTTTTTGTTGAGTTTACCTGTACTGTATGTTTAAACTAGATACTACAAGTTACTGTCATGCAGTATTTCATTATTTGGCTTTTCTCATTCAAGCGCAATGGTCCGTTGGTTGTTCTCTGGTAGCCTTGTACTGTTTTTTTCTACTTAACAGTGTGAATGCTGGTCCAATGAGTCACCTTCTGGGTGCTGCTGTTGTCGCCACATCACCAAGAAAAGCAAAAATAAATCTTGACCAAAAAAAGCATGTGATGTGAGAAATGGCTTATTGACAAGGAATAGAATAGGCATTTTTCAAGAACTGTGTTTTGCCTGTTTGCATGTTCTCTCCATGTCAGCATGGGTTTTCTCCAGGTACTCCAGCTTCCTCCCACAGTCCAAAGACATGCAGGTTAATTGGTGACTCTAAATTGTCCATAGGTGTGAATGTGAGCATGAATGGTTGTCTGTCTCTATGTGTCAGCCCTGTGATAGTCTGGTGACTTGTCCAGGGTGTGCCCCGCCTCCTCAGTGTCAGCGAGGATAGGCTCCAGCCCCCCTGTGACTCCTAACAGGATAAGTGGTTATGGAAAATGAATGAATGAGTCAAGAAAATATTGATTGATTAGCAAAACGGATAAAAAATACTATATAAAACTGCAAGAAAAGCATTTTGGAGTTATACATTTTGTAATATAAATATCACAAAATGATATGAATATTAAAATGGTTGTCTCACATGTCTAGAAGGGATATGTCCTCAGTATTTAGAGCATGTATTTTGTAGCAGAGGATTATTATTTTGACAAAATTAAAGACATTTACACCTTAAAACTGATGCAGAAAAGTTCAATTTGGTACATTAAAGTTAAACAGGATGCAAGAAATGATGTGTTTGTACTGAGGACCCCCAAACCCCACGTTTAGGAGTGCCCCCCAGTTTTGAAATGAAACCTACACCCTTGAAGTAGAGGATGATAGTTAGGCCTAGTAGTATGGTATACCAACATATGAGTTTTATGAGTTTCAGATAGTGTCACAGCATACATTTGAACCAATTAATCAACTTTTCTCAGTGTAAACTAATAAAAAAACACACAGCTGGCTTCACTACATGAGTATGAGTGCAGTTTAAATGCAGTAGTACACTAAGCAGCCTGCAGGCGTCGCTGTCACACCCACACTGCCTCCAGTCATGAACCAGTCATAGGGCAGGAGTCACTGGTATTTGGTCGGACAAGGTAAGAAACGTGCACTTTCACACCATTACCGCGTCGCCTCACGTTTTATATCGTGTCGTAGCTCTCCTCAGACGTACAGAAAGATAAGTGTCATGTTTTAATGTTGCCATGGAGCTAAACTAGGGCCGAGCTCACACTGTAGCCATAGTCACTGTTTACATCAGCTAACTGCTAGCTAGCTTGTGTGCTTTCACTCTCTGCTAACAAGTTTCCCACTTCGCCAACTGTCCTGTATTGTTACATTTACCAGTTTGCCCCCGTCCACAAGTCACCCCACTCTTATTTAGGTCAGCGTTACATTATTATTAAATAACGACCACGTTTAATATGGGTAAAGTTTACTTTAGTTAGCTAGCATGCTAACTTTGGGGCCACAGCACAGCCTAACGTTAGCTAAGGTATGCTGAGGTTATGTCACAACAAAGTTGCGTTAGCTTTGTGTAACTGTTAATCACAAACCTTGCCCACCATTGATGTAGCATTCACTTACTCTGTAACCTATGAGTGGTTTGAGTGAATTGTAACCGACTAGCCTTAGATTAAGTAATCAAGTAATCATGACAGGGCAGGCATGTGTACAATTATCAGGCTAAATGCTAGTTTCATTTTTGTACTGACAGCCACTAGTGACAGTGTCATGTCTGGTTGTTTGGCTCCTGTGTTGCTTTCTTGTTAGTGACTGTTTTCATTGCAGGAATGTAAATGTCTGAAGACAAGGAAGCCCAGGAGGATGAGCTGCTTGCTTTAGCAAGTATCTATGATGAGGAGGAGTTCCGCCAGGCTGAGACTGCTCAGGGGGGAGAGATCCAACTCTGTCTGGAGCTCCCTCCTGATTTCAAAGTTGTTGTCAAAGGTACAGCTGTCAGTGAGCTGTGTAAATCTAAGGCACAAATCATTTGCTATTCAAATGCAGAAGGCACCTGAGACATTGCCTTAGGTCTACTTTGCAAATGCTTTAAATGAAATTCTCTCCTACTCGTATTAAGGCATATAAAAGAACCTCACTCTCATTTGGAGTTTATCTATCTAATTAAAAATTCTCTGTGTTTTGCAGGAGAGAAGCAAACTGAATATAATGTCTGCTTCTTACCTCCTTTGGTGCTCAACTTTGAGCTTCCTGCAGACTACCCGTCTACATCCGCACCAGTCTTCACTCTCAGCTCTAAATGGATGACCAAGGCACAGGTGAGACTCATGCAAGCCTCGATAACTTTTCACTACTTCACGATACAAAAACTGACCACCAAATTGATAGTCAAGAGAAGAAAAGTGGGTGATTTATATTTTAATTATTGTTAGTATCACTCAAGAAAGTTTCCTTACCATGCATCACATCATTAATACCTGTTCCTTCTCCTTTTTTATTTTACCTGCACAGATGAGCTCTCTGTGCAGACGCCTGGATGAGCTGTGGGAGGAGAACCAAGGCTGTGTGATTCTTTTCACATGGATACAGTTCCTCAAAGAGGAGGCTCTGGACTTTCTGGCCATCCAGTCTCCTCTTGAAGTCATCAGGGGGGGAAGTAAGGCAGGTGGTGCACACAGAAAAACCGACCCAGCAGCCACAGGTAGGCATGTGCTTTGTGGAATGAATAGTTTATTTTCTTGTGTGGATGCATATGCATTAACTAAAGCACCTCTCTCATGTGACTATTAGTCATACCACTGTATTACCTATTAAAAGTTGTTAATACTTTGTAATGTTTTTTTGAGTTAAGCTGAAAGAAGAACTAGGTCAGCACAAGTACAAATATGCTCCTCTTCGATTCTGTAGATTAAATGGGTGGAGTACCTGCAGTTAACATTGTTTCATTCTGCTTAATTTGTTTTTGATAAAACGATCGCTGGTAGCTCAAACATGTGCTTTGTTTGATCAAAGCACACACTGTGTAAGAGTCTTGAGTCAGCTTACATGTTAAGCAAAATGACAAGCATTTTTCTACTTTAAAATAATCAGATTACTATGCTAACGTGCTCTGTAAGCAGACAAAATTGAATTCAAGATTGATTATAATGTTTGTCCATTCTGTTCAGCTTTGACAGAGGCGAGTCACTCTGAAAACGCTGATGAAAAGAAAAGAGAGGTGAGCAAAGAAAAGTCTGAACCACCTCTGTCAGTGTCTTCTCAACTGGACCCGCGGGCCGTCCTGTTGATGGACCCGTGTGCCGACCTCCTACCTCAGCTCCTGGACTTTGACGAGGAGCAGCGCCAAAGGGTGTTTGATAGCAAGGTGTTCGGCTGCGGGATCTGCTTTGCAGAGAAGCTGGGCTCCAGCTGCCTCTGCTTTAAGGAGTGCCAGCATGTCTACTGCAAGGCCTGCATGACTGAATACTTCCAGATCCAAATACGGGACGGCAACGTTCAGTGCCTTAATTGCCCTGAGCCCAAATGTACCTCCTTAGCCACACCATCACAGGTAAGAGAGCGGTAAAGTAGATGTGTGTGTGTGTGTGTGTGTGTGTGTGTGTGCGCGCATGCCTACAAGTGAAGGGTGTTTTTTTTTGGGGGGGGGGTTCCTTTTCAGAGGAGGGCTTAACTGAATTCCACATTTGGACTTTTTTAAGTTTCCTTCCTTCCTGCTGTCTTCATTGCTCAGGTGAAGCACCTGGTGGATGAGGAGCTGTTTGCCCGTTATGACCGTTTGCTGCTCCAGTCCACTCTGGACCTCATGGCCGACGTGGTCTACTGTCCCCGCCAGTCTTGCGGCACCGCTGTTATGGTGGAGCCAGACACAACCATGGGCATTTGCTCGGCCTGCCAGTATGCTTTTTGCACACTGTGCAAGCTGGGCTATCACGGTCTCTCCCATTGTAAAGTTACTGCAGGTAATGTCATTGGAAATAAAATAGCTGCACAACTCAGGTTCATGACAGACTTGAAGCTGTGTAGCTGTTGTAGTGGAAGAATGCACAATTCTATGATTCTGTGAATCCCATACCTGAGTTCCTGTCTCTGTTATTTGCCCTGTTCCACAGATGAATTGCGTAACCTCAGAGATGAGTACCTGACAGCCACAGATGAGGGCAAAAAGTTCCTGGAGCAACGCTTCGGGAAGAGGGTGATCCAGAAAGCAGTGGAAGAGTCCTTTAGCAGAGACTGGCTCAACGAGAACTGCAAAGGATGCCCACGCTGTGGAACTAATATACAGGTCTCCCACTGCTTGTCTCAGAACAGTTAGAACAGGCTTTGACTTCATCAGCAGGGGTCAGTGTTCACTGCTGTCAGTTTATAAAGATGAGACAAACAGAGCATTTATTTTACTTACTTGATACAAAGACTGAGAGAAGGCGTTCGGGTCATTACAAAATTCAAACTGCAGCCTGTGTTTGACGCACATTTCTTTTAAAGATCAAGATTTCAAGCCCCAGTTGGTGTCAGTTACTGTTGTTAATTGACCAAATCCAGGGTCCGGCCCATCTTAGTTACTGTTGCTTGGTTGGACAACGTTGACAGAAAGTAACATGGAGATGCCAGTTCTGTTAAGCGGGGTGTCAAAGTGTGTATTAGATTAGCTTCAAGAAGCCGACAGCAAGGACTACAGTATGTGATTGAAGGATATTTTCATGATGGGGTTAAAGGTGTCATGTATATCCAAATAAACAACACCAAATGTTACTTTGGGGTGACAAGTAGCCCTACAGAGACAATATAAACAAAGGCCAACGATAATTGATGTCATATTTTTAATATCTCAGCAACTAACCTATGTGTCCTTTTCCAAATCTTTTTAACGTTACCACAGAAATAAGGAGGAAGCAAACTGGGCTGATGGTGATCTGACATAAGACTAACGCTTCTTAATGTACCTATACCATAGCTAGCTAGTTAGCTGGCATTTTGCATACATAAGCTAACTTAAGATGCGACTATGTACAATGTAATGTGACAAGTGTAGCAAGTACATATCTAGGTATAACAGGAACAGAGAAAGCTGACCGTGATTCTGCTGGGTGTGACTGAGGCTTGCTCAGTTGTTATTGGAGCGAAGAGCAAAAAGGGTCGGGTCTTCAGGGTGGTCACTTTGTG